TAATATTTCGATCACAAATTATCTTTTAAGAGCTTTGTTTCACGTTAGAAAAGGAAGTTTTTTGCACACTGACACCTTATAGTTTTTCTCTTAAGTGCAGTCAAGCGAGGCTAAAAACGAGTTTAAAAACTTATAGTTTTAATTCATACCTACTGTCAGAACACTTCTATCTTTCATTCTTGCCACTGCGGATGAAACTGTATTTAAAATTTCGGTTCCTCGGCCATCAAAAACTCCATTAATATTCAAAACTATGAGCACTTTTTAGTGTTGACGGCGAGCAGGGTGGCCGAAAATAGGCAAATACGCAAAAGTACTAAGGAAATATTGAGGAGTGAATTTAGGTCAAAGAATAAAACAGGCCAGCAAAAGGTTATATTTAACAGATAGCTTTATCACTCTACGTTCTTTGTACCAAGAATTGGCTCATTTTGGCCCTCTATACGGAAAAAAAATATAAACTTGAATTAAACCATGTAATTTTAGTAGCCGTAAACAAACACGTTTTCGGGGAAACCAAATTCACCTACCTTCGCGTCACCTCAATGTGCTCACAGTATATAGTAGCTGTAAACTCAAAACTCGGCAGGACGAAAGACAAGGAATCAAGCTACCTTTGGAAACAATTGCTTTTTATTCAGACTCATTTTTGGCTCGAAAAATAACCGTTGAACAAAAAGTGACCAAAAACTGGGCCCGGCTGAGAACTGGGCCCCATACTGAATCTTGTATTCAGTGACCTCCTTCCCCCGGCCTATGGCTATGGGCACCCATTCATATTCAGACGTGTTGGTGAGTTGGGGATTGGATAGAAATACTAAGAAATGGGTAAGAGCTGATGAACAGGGTATCATCTTTCAAGGTCTTGAGTTTTTATAACAAGGCGTTACAAATTGATCAAAATTGATCATTGAAAAGCGAATCGATAAATCGATAAAATCAAAATTCAAATCAATCAAAATCGATAAATCACAAGATATTGAGGGATGTGTATCAATTATTATTCATGGCAACCGAAGGACACTAGAGAAATCTGGAGAAATCAAGAGAAATCAATCACTCAAAGCGCAATCGAAAGAAGTGTTGACAAATTGAAAAAGCAGTGTTTCAGGGCATTACCATTGTAGCTTGTTCACATTTCTACCTTCACCTTGCAACTGCCTGTTACTGCAAACTTTCGTGTACATTTTCAGCATCATTGGTGTGTTCACAGGTTATCAACGTTGATCAATGGCACGAGTCTCAGCTGGTACTCTCATTCCCATTTTGCAGCGTTTTGGAAAGAGAAGTCCGGTGTAAAAGCATGTGAATAAAGAAATTGTTTAAGTCAGTTGTGGACTATTAGTTTAAACAAGGTTTGGCATGTTTTCCTCAAGCTTTTTGTCCAGTTGTAGGCCATGGAGGGATTGCGAGCGCAAGATTTGTCACGTCAGGTCACTGCACTAACTGCTGCTGTGTAATGTTCGTGCTTCAAAATACCGGCATAGCTTTACGTTTCAATACTTTTCAATTGAAATCGATACAATCCATGAAATCGATAGAAATCGAACAGAAATAGATGAAAGTCGATAATCACAAGAATGACTGTGATTGATTTTTATCGTAGTTTTACTATCAGCAGCAAGACTCATAATCTGCAGCGCGTTTTTCCCCCCTGGGGGGGGGGGTGTTGTAGTTCCTTTTATAGGCTATATCTAGGTATGTGCCATGCTAAAGGGTATGGTTTTTTAGCCATTTTGGTCTGAAATAGGGAATCAATTTCGACCGCAGACGTATTTCCGGTTGTCGCTAACACGCGTACTAAATCAAATCAGAAACAAGTAAAAAGTATCGACGTTGATAAAATAGGAAGTAAAAAACATTTAGCGAGTAAATCTGTTTTGTTTCGTGTAGAATTAATTGCCTCCTCATTTCTCAATCTAATCTTCAAGCAAGTGAGACTGAATACCGCTCTAAGTGGCTTCTTGTTATTGTCTGGAACAGGGTGTCCTTTTAGACAGGAAAAGAGTCTTAAGCCAGGGGGGGGTACTCCCTCATATAAGCGATATAGGTATGTGCTGCCCCATCGGGTAGGGTTTTTGAGCTGTTTTGGTCTGAAAACGGGTTTACACTTTTCCCATTTTTGGGAACTGGGTTTCAAGGGAACTACGGGAGTGTATGAACATATTTATCGTTTCAATTCTAAATAAGAAAGAAAGAGAAATATGGGAATTTGAAACGAACTTGAGGAATTTTTTTTGTTTGCGCTCTGAATAAAGGCCAGCTGAAAACGGGTTTGGATTTTAGAGGTCTGGTCTGAAAATGGGTCTGGAAAATGACATTTTTTGGTCTGAAATAGGGTCAGGATTTAGAGAACCAGGCGGCACACCCCCACCAAGAATTTTTCTTTGGTGTTATTACAGATAACTAATTACATCTATAGCCCTTGAAAAATGTAACAAAGAATGCAGTATGCTTTAAATTATAATGGTACAAGGTTTTTGTCTAGCAGCGTGCAAAGAAAGTTGTGTCCGATAGCCCGGGGCTAGTGGATTTTGTAATCGGGCTAGTGAATTCTATTCTTAATTTGCCCGAAGGGCAAGTGAAATTTTTTGGGAAATTCAAATAACAGAAGAACTACAATCAATGTTGCCTGTGAAAAACAATTTTGGGCTAGTTAAAAAGACTCTTGGGCTAGTACATACTAGCACCAACTTGCCCAAATGGCAAGCCGTAAAACTGCCTTTCTTTGCACCCTGCTAGTCTAGTAAAAAATATTATTACTCAATTTCCTTGTGGATTCTTTTTTGAATTTTCTATATGGGTATAAAATTTTGCATGCTTAAATTTCGTGTGGATTTATTTTTGCGATTTTTCTACAGTCATGAAAAACACGAAATTTAAGACCCGCTAAATTACCGGTAAGTACCAGTAAGGTAGCTGCCAAATGCCTATAAGCAATTATAACAAAACTGGCAAATAAAATAAAAGTTAGAAGCTTGAATGAATGAATGCTGACTTAAACTGATTCAACACAAAACATCTAAAACAGTTCTGTTCTGATTGGCTTAGAGTTGGTTTCATGTTTCACAGCATTTTGACACTTGCAATTAAATGATGCTTGAATGAAATGTATCCAATTCCTTTGGATAACATACTCTCCCAGGTTTACCGTGACTCCTCCGCCCCCTCTCAAATAAGTCTCCCTTCCCTAATTATTCTTTTGTAATAAGTGTTGGACTGTATAATCGGTCACTACTGTTAAACTTCGTTTAGACTTATCCAGGATGGTTTATTTTCCAACTGTAAGTTCAGATTTGATGCTGATCCTCAGCTGCATGCCCTTGAGCTTCTGCACTTTGTATTCTAGTTCTTTATGTAATTAAGCCCCCTGTCTCTATTAAGCCCCTGCTCAAATGGGCTTGAAATAAATGAGCCCGGGGGGGCTTAATAGTGGAGTTACGGTACAGTAAGTTTGCATCTCATTTTTGTGGCTGATAATACAGTGTAACCACCCATTAGTGACCACCCAAAATGTGAAGAGTTGGTGATCACATTTTTTACTGGGGTGGTCGCTTTTGAGAAGCAAACTTAAATGGGGTGCAGTTGGTGTCCTGTGAAAAAAAATATTATCAGGTGTTCTTCCCTCTCTTCTCAAAGATAAATCTCTGGCTAACATAGGGATTCAGTCAAACCGGGAAAACCATGATCACCAGAAATATTCTGGAATGTTATTGTGTTGCAAGAAGAAAGCAAATCAGGCATGAGAAAACTGAACCGCAAGCAAGAACGTTAATTATAAGTTTATGGTTTTGTGGCTAGTTCGCATGTCTAATGATCTGTGCTGTGATTGGTCATAACACAAATAAAATATTCGCGAGATATTTCAAATGTTCATGGTTTTCCCCTTCGCACTGTAAATATCACATTCTCCTTCATGCCTTGCCCCAACTCCACCTTTTTTTTTTTAGAAAAATTTGATATCTATCCCCATACATCCATTATCAACCATGAAGTTGGATAAACTATAAACAGAAATAGCAACAAGTGAGTAGGTACTTTTGGTTACAATTGATTTGATTTCTTTATTTCCAGTGCATAGCGATTGAGGACATTAATCCACAAGCACCAGTTCATTTCCTGGTTATACCGAAGAAAGAAATAAGAAAGATAACTGATGCTACAGATGAGGATGAACAAGTATGTTTACCATTTCCTTTTTTTTCACATTTACTCGTTGATTTTTATATGACTTCTGTGTTTAAATGTAAAGGTATTCGCAGCTGTTATTGCAAGTTTAATTTACCGGATGGGTCAATTGTTTAAAACCCTCGGAGAGCTTTTATCCCAACCAGGAATTTAGGTGGATGTGTTCCATGGGCACCCTTATTTAATCCCTTAGCCATGATCACTGTACATGTATAGGGTCAAACCTTTTACAAGTTAACACCCATAAGACCACAGTAATGGCATTCCAGGCACACCCTACAACTGTTTTCTGTAATATATCTGTTCAGATAATGCTGGTTGCTCTCCATACAATTTTCAAAGCGTATCTAGTACATACCCTATGATTTTTTTAAGTTTAGTTTCTTTAGATTTCAGTACTCCTCGGGTTATATTAGGTTATTTTTCTTGTAAAAAAGGAAACCTAAAATTTTCAAATTCAAAAATGTGATGGAGAGAGGAATCAGAAGAATACTCACTTTCATCATATGTTAAATTGCATCTAAAATTTTCGGGAAAATGATACTGAAGCCCTTGTAATTTCGAAAAGACTCGAGTTCCCTTGATGACCGAAGAGATACAAATTTTATAGCACCTCTTAAAATGTATTTCTTGAGATCTAAGAGTACTCTGGATAACCTAAGAAGCATTTTCAACGTATGTATATGGGAGCAAACAGTTGATGGGTGCCACCGAAGCTCGGGTTCCCTGTGAGGGTATCTTGGACTATCAAACTATTGACTAGAAACCTACCCGTATCCTGCTCCCTTTATAGTTTCATTGTTTCATCTTTGGGGGGGACTTCCTAGTAGTAGACTAATGATTATGTGTGCATTTTCATGACTGGATTGACTATAATGGGGTTGCATTTTTGTAAGAGTTTCTAGAGTGGGGTCACACATTTCAGGCTTTTGGGGGTCATAAAGTAAAGGTATGTAGGGATTTAAAAAAAAAAAAAGATTTACACTACGTTAAGTTTAACAAATGTGTCAGTTCATTTCATTTAGGATGACCTAGGTAAAAGGCTTTGTAAGGTAGATGCATAAACAGAAAGTGACTAAGTTGGGATTGTGAAAATTACTTTTTTTTTAAAAGTGACTAAGATGTGGTCCATAATATGGCCACAGAGTAGACTATAATGGGGTAGGGATTCTGAGAGGCCAGTGGCACACCTAGTAAAAATTAACCCAAGTACCCCCCTCCCCTCCCCTCCGCAGGAGTTTCATAGACATAATAGACCTCCCTACAGACAGCTCTGATACCTGCACTCTACCCAAAGATTTGAGACTTTTTAAGGAAAAGTGGAATAGCAGATCAGGCTAGAAATGGGGAGTTCTGGATCCTGTTAACCCTTTACTCTCACTTTCAACTCCTTTTTGCACCCAGTGGCGTTGAGAGAGAAATCCTCATAATGAAAATGTATTCAGGGCTGTCATAAATTTTTAGAGCAGCCATAGCAAATAAAGATTCACCCATAACATCTCCCCAAAACTTTATAGTGTCACCTTTAGCCTTCCACTTTGATCACCTATAAAATCAATGAAAGCGTTATGTACATGTATGACTATGTTTTTTTTTTCAGCTTCTCGGTCACTGTATGATTATTGCGAAGAAAGTAGCAGCCCTGAAGGGTATTGACCAGGAAGGCTATCGTGTGGTAATCAATAATGGTCAGCATGGCTGTCAGTCTGTCTATCACATCCTTTTACACGTTTTAGGAGGGCGGAAGCTCAAGTTCCCTCCAGGATGACTAGGTAATATCTAATTTTAACATCTTGATATCCACATTATCCTGTTCTTGATATGTTGTTCCAGAAAACAGTCCCTTTGAAAACGTTCGCTTACGTGTATAAACTTCCCAATTACAATAACACCTCTTCAGTTATAGGCCCGTATTCTACCTGAAAACAAAGAAAATTAAGACGGAATAGATCAGGAAAATGAGTAATTTTAATTCTCAGTGGACAAAAATCTTGTACCAGAGTAATTTAAAGAATATTGCATTCTTTTTTACACTTTTCAAGGCCTAAAGATGTGATTAGTCATATGTATTAACACCAAAGAAAATTTCTCATGGGAGTCAGAGAAAATGAATGTCAAATTTCACAAGAATTAGGAAATTTGACATTCATTTTTCACAAGAATTATGAAAACACCGGTAAACTTCTGAAAATTTCATGTTTAAGATTTTGTGAAATTTGACATTTTGTGAAATTTTCTGTGGTGTTATTACGGATAACTAATTACCGTACATCTTCAGCCCTTTAAAAGTGCAAAAAAATAATGCAATATGCTCTTAATTATTCTGGTACAAGGTTTTTGTCCACTGATAATTAAAATATTATTACCCAATTTCCTGGTGGATTCCGTCTTTAGTTAATACATCTGATTATAAGCCCCCCCCCTCCCCCCACCCCTTCCCTCTAACTGTATTGAGGTGAAAACGCGTTATCATGATATTTTAAAGCTTAATTAACAAGTCAATCAATACAATACTTATTTTGATCTGCACTACTATAGCTTGTTTTAAAGCGCTTTTTCTATTTTCTATTAGGCCCCTCTGTTTATAAACTCTCCTAAAACCCCTTAAGATGATGTGTAAGCTCAGGGCTTGTAAGCGGCAATTTGTGGTAATTACCCATACTCTTCAACAGAAGAGACGCAACGAGACTGCTGACTGGTGGCCATTTTCGACGCCTGGGATGTCAACGTTCTTGTTGCGATGAAGAAATGCCTTGTTGGACCCGAGCTAAATATCTTTCTTGTCCACTGGTCTTTAATAGACAACATTTGAAATCAGGTAAATTTGGCAATTGTAAAACGGGAAATATGATGAAAAACTAATCATTGTTTTTTAATTTTTCTAATTCAGACTCTATAATCAGGCTTTTTTTACTGCATGCGGTTTACAGACTTAAATGTTGGGAGCTTAAGCATCGACGACGGCGACGGCAACGAGAGCGCTAAAAAAGCAATTGGTCAAGGGTCTGTTTACATGGAGGTGGGGGACCCTAGTTAGGTGAAATAACCCGCCAAGGTGAGGTTACCCGCATGTGCATATAATCTTTAATTTTTTAAATGAGAGTAGAAGAACATTAACTGTCACAACGTGTCAGTTTTTGGCGGGGATGGCGGGGTCGTTAACGCGGGTTATTTTTATCCTGTTTGACTTTTCTTTTAGCTTGGGATAATTTATGGCGAAATGTGACCAAATATTCATCTCATCTGAACTTTCACGTAATATCAAATTTGCAATGTACATAACTCGGACTGTATTCTTCTACATATAGTGGCAAACTCCAAAGTCTTTCAAAGAGATACATCTGAACAAGAGTTACATACAGCTGCATGAAAAACTGTAATAAATAAATACCAAATAAATACCTCAAGTAACCCAGGTTCTTTGATAGTACCAAAGTATCAATTTAGTTAAATAACAGTGTTTGTATGGGGTAAAAATACGAACTTAAAATTTGTAGGAAATACCAAATAAAAAGTCAATGAAACTTACTCTAGTTACTCTGCAGTCAGTTGTTGTTGTCGTTAATACCCACACGAAACTGACGAAATTTCGTGATAATTTGCTCAAATTCACCCTCTATGCAATATAATACACAAACTGGGAGGCACGAGATGACATCTAAGCCCCATCGGTCTCATTCCAACACCACGTTTTCGACGAAATACGAACTCCAACGGTCAATAAACACGCTAGACTCGTACTAATAGGACTGCCGCAGATATGGAAATTAACGAAGCTTTCCCAGGTAGAAAAAAGAATCCAGCAGACTTCGTGAAACTCACAGAAAAGAATGAAAGAACTGTAGCAGACCACTGTACAAAATCAACCCCACCCTGGGTTTCCTCCCCCGCTGGTAACATTTGTTCGAGGGCAATCGCGAGTCGCCAAAGCAAAACCGGTGCACAAGCTGAAATAAAGAAAAAAAGAAACGTATAACAGCTTATGGTTGCCATTTTGTAATTTTAAAAATCTCGAAAAAGTCCAGCGTTTCCCAATTTTTTAAAAACAGGAAGCTTGATAAGGACAAAAAGAACAACTGCAACAATTAACAATAGTACTTTTGATTAGCAAACATCAACTTAGGGTGCGTTCGATTGGGAAATCCGGATTTAGATTTTGAAAATCTAAATCCGGATTTCCCAATCGTCACGTTTTTTTTTCAAAAAGCAAGTTGCACGTGCCAAGTTGATGACTGCTTCACACGTAAAATGATGTTCGTGCGGTTCCCGATATATCTGATTCCTTGTTCGCTGAAATTTAAGAGGCAATGTTTGAGATCACCTAATCGGCAGTTGTGAAAGGCGAAAAAATATAACAAGTTATTTAAGTATCTGATCAGGCTCTTTTTATTGCATGCCGTTTACTAGCCGGCGTTGCAGCTGGCCCACGCATCGTCGAAGCCATCAGGGGCACCCAACGTCAGTTTTCGGAAAAATATATGTTCGGAAGACGATTTGAGATCTAGAATTTTCGGAACATTTGTTGTAAAACTTCTTGCTTGCCTGCCTCTCCTAGCATTTTCGAACATCTAAAAAATGGTTATAATTGCCCAGTTTTAACGGATTTTTACCCTGAAAAGGTCACCCGAATTTTCGGGAGCCTTTTTCTGCCGGAAATTTTCGAAAGGGTAAGTTTTGTTCCCTATAATTTTCGGATCACTAGACTTTCAGCTAGAAAATCCGAGCAGATGAAACATTTTTAGGGGATAAAAATATGCCTATATTTACCGTTTAAATACTAAAATACGTTTAACAATGCTATGTTTAAGTAGTTTTGAACTATATTCTCGTTGGGTGCCCCTGAGCCATTTGACTGCAGTAGTCTATACAGAAGGTTTAGAGTGTCTGCGACGCTGGCGACGCAGTCTAGCCGTTTACAAACTTTGTTGTTTACAATAAAATTTCGGCAACCATAGTTCTCTCTGGGGACTTGGCAATAAATTAGCTATTCACCGTTTTTACATTGACCATAACGCACCTTGTTTACCCCAAAAAACTTTGCATGACCATTGTTTTCGATTTCTCTTGGCACGATTGTAATACCCTGGAGAAATTGGAAACAACGATTATGCAAAATTCTGCATTATGGTCAATGTGAAAGTTGTGAATTGCCATCACACCGCGAAAAGCCCGCGAGTATTCCGTACGTGTCTGTGCAATGTGGGTTTCTTATGAAAGGCCAGTGTCTCTTCCTAGCCTGCGAGCAAGCTCTCCTCTTTGGGCGTGCGAAGCGAGTCTCGCGACCTTACTCGCAGGCTATGTTTCTTCGTATTAGCGTGCCCAATCATTTCGGTGTTTCGTACACTTCTCTCCGCGCCATTGACTCTCGCCTTCTTTGCTGCTCCCTTCTCTCATGGATTAAAGGCTTCAGAGCGGTCCCTAGCCTCCCACGCAGGCGTTTTTAGGGGAGCTCGTATTTCTTCCCTCCCCACAAACAAAAAGTTTGTGGGGAGGGACGAAATACGAGCTCCCCTAAAAACGCCTGCGTGGGAGGCTAAGCGGTCCCTTACATGCTCAACATTTACACGATCATTAAGCTGCCCCCGTTAGTCTACCTTCTGCAAGTTGGCCGCGCTTTGCCTGTTTCGTCAAACTTTTGTCGATGCTCATTGGGTTCTGCACTTGTAAGGTAAGAAATATTTTGACTCTTATAAGCTTGTTTTCGGTTTGTCGTTGGCTTATGGAGTTACAAGTGTCTAGCATGCTGCCTCTCTCCTTTCGGCAGGTTGTATTTTACTTTTGTCTAGAGTTAACGGGTGTCATAATCAGAAGCATGCCAGAGATGGCGAGCGAAGCGATCCGCGAGAGAACGCGCGAGCGAGCGAGCGGCAAAGCCGCGTGAAAGGCAGAGGTCCTTTCTTTCCCCGCCCCTTGCGCCCGCGTCTCCTTTCGCGTGCGGCTCTCGCGTGATTTCTTGCGACTCTCCCAAATGGAGAGCTTGCTCGCAGGCTAAAGCATGTTTATTATTTCTCAAGCATTTAGTTATTTGTCTAGCTCTAGTTTTCAGCAAACAGTAGTTTATCTCTGTAGTATTCAAGTCAGTTTGTCTAGCGGAAGTATTTCGTAGTGATGACGTTCGAAAACGTCGAACGTCGTCGTATTTTTCAACGGTTTTACAAATTTCTCAAAATATGTTTTTTAAAAAAAGTTTTTTCGCGATATTTTAAAGCTAGTTTTTTTTTATAAAGTCGCTATTGGTTTTGAACCAAACTGCGTAACAAATGGTAACAAAAGCAGTTGAACGCAGGCTAATCAAATCAGTTTTCTCTCTCGCAATCGGCCAATTGAAAGCAATCCCCCTCTTTTTCGTAATTTCCCAAGGCAACTCCGATGTCAATAAAACATTGTTTTTTCATTAGTTTTTATAGTACAGCTGTGGCAACCTTTTCTTTTTTGTCGATGCCGACGTAGTATAAAAACGCTTGAGACGTCGGCATATATTTGAAACCACATTTTTCATCAAGAACTTCGAGATCCTGCAACAGATTTTTCCCTAACTTCAGCAGGTAATCCTCAGAACTCCCTTGTTTTATATCCGGCGGCAATCTTTTAAGTCAATCGTAACCATACAACTCTTTTTCGTAATTTCCAGAGCTCATGATGATCTTGATATTAGCCAATTGAGTCGATAGCATGTTATTTCACTTTTTTATGACCCTTAAAACTTCGTTTCCAAGTATTTCCAAAATGCCCTTTAAGAAATTGTTCAAACTTTGCCATAATTAAGACAACTAGCAGAGACACAGGCAACCTGGTCCCCAGGGCTTTTCCCTTAAAAAATGGGTGGGGCGGGAGAAGCCCTGGGGACGAGGTTGGGACACAGGGACCCCGGGACGTAGTGGCTGACCAGCATCTATGCAAATTTATTGGAACAAAAGAAAGCGTTTGCATAAGAAAAGAGTTCAACTCCCAGAGGATTGGTTTGGGACACTGCACCAACATGGACGCCGTTTCATTGTTTTGGGACACCAATATGGCCGCCGTGACGTCATGTGAAAACACTCTATAGCCCCACAAATAATTTGGCAGAGATTTTTTTTTCTTTTTTGAATTAAAAAGCGTTGGTCTAAGACCCATTACATATATGCGAATTTCCTACTGTCCCATACATGTTTTAATAGCTGAGCCCCATAGCTAAGAAAATTTGGTAATCTATCCATCCGGGAAAATTTGGTCATGACGTCAGCTTACTGACCCGCACGTACGTACGTTCTTTGGGGGTGGGGTTAGGAAAGGGAGTCAGGAGACAGCTCGCTGGGGGAGGAGTATGTGAAAACTGAGGTGAAATTTTGCATTTCAAGCTCCCTGCTTGTTTCGGCGGTAAATCACATGGCAGCCCGGACATTTAGAGAGAGAGAGAAAGAAAAAATCTTTCTTTCCTCTAAATATTAATGGCTACATTGACTTGGATAACAGGGAAAGAGCTAGAGCGAGAATTAAATAACAATGGAGACCAACTTCGTTGGAAGAAAAGCATTAAAGTTCTATAGCAGCGGTTTGAAAATGAGAAATGCTAGCGCGGCTACCAGAAAAATAGGAACACAAGCATTTCCTTCGTAAAACGTGTAAATAGGAAGGTAAAAGTATTTTTAGTCCCGCAAAACAACGGTAAGGAAATGTACCAAAAAGTGTGCTGCACGTGCAAAGTTGTTTTTTTTTGCTAATTAGAAAAACAATTGCGTTGCACGTGCAAATCAGATCTATTGCTGTTGTTTTTAACCGTTCTCTATGTTTTCACCTTGTCTTTAGTATTTCTCGATTTTATATTTTCTTTGAGGAAAGTAAAAATCAATTGATAGTTCGAGAGCTTAGATGAATACATTAGAACTGTCAAAACCTTGCTTTTAGCCCTGGCTATATCTATTTAATTATTAGAATCACGTGATTTGAAATCGCATCACCCCTTTTTTGTTCTGAACTCTATTCTCTGAGACGTTCTCTGAGTGTTTCGATCATTCAACCCTCATTTTTTTTATCTCTGTTCTTCGACTACTTCATTTTTATGATTACGTATCCCACTATCAGAAAATTAGCGTTATTCTCATTGATGAAGACATATTTTCTCTAATGAAGTTTGAAAGAAAGCTTTACAGACGACATCAGGTACTACTATCTTCTTCCTCAGTTTCGGAGATATTCAAGGTTCTGATGAAGGGGAACAGATCGAACGTTTTTCAGATGAAGTGAAGAGTCTTGCCTTGAATCAGCGTGCCATGCATATGTTTGCTGAGCGGGTTGAATAAATCTGCCAACGTCTCTATCCAGCCACTGTA